ATTTGGTTGTTCGTCCTCGAAAATCGTTCGTGTTTCGTTGATAAGCTTCGTTATAACTGCTCGATTGCCTCCTCTAACGGCTCGAAATCTCGCTAAAATCGCCTTTTCTTCGCTCATTTTTTATTAAATACCTTGACAATATGCCCCACGTTAGGCGCCATGAAATAAATATCGAACTCTACGCAAAAACAAACTAAAATATCGTCGAAAATCTCAGGGTTTATTCGTATATAAAACTCGTATAAAAAAAATATAAAACTAGATCACAAAAAACATGTGTTCGCGCAACTTGTTCTCAGGGAAGCCTGAGTTCTACCTTCAACTTAAGGTGTCTCTCGCACGTTTTTAACAGTCTTCATAGCAATACGAAGCCAATGAAGACACATTTTGCCCTAAATACTCGGTCAGAGCCTCAGAGGTGTGTTCTACACAGCCAGAAACGCGCAAGTCGGAACAGATCTGCAACAGATCTGTTAAATCCTGTTGTCAACAAGCCGATATCTGGATGCGTTCGCTCGCCTTGTACCTGTCTGTTCTGACAGGTCCGCAACGGCCTGTCAACAGGTCTGTTAGAAGCTGTTGTGACAGAGCTGCAGCAATGCTGTTTTCAACAGGTCTGTTAGAAGCTGTTGTGACAGAGCTGCAGCAATGCTGTTTTCAACAGGTCTGTTAGAAGCTGTTGTGACAGAGCTGCAGCAGTGCTGTTTTCAACAGGCCTGTCGCAAGTTGTTGACACAGAGCTGCAGCAATGCTGTTTTCAACAACTTGCGACAGACCTGTTGCAAACCGAGGAAAGCACCTTATGAAGCTTGTGTATCCACTATTTTGAACAAAAAACGGCCAAACAGGTTGCCATATTTCGATTGTAGTGTTTCGTGAAATAGCCAGAACTTTCATATGAACACTTATAAACAAACTTGCGAGATAATTTTTGAGCAAAACAGCCGAAAAAATACGACAAATTCAAGAAAGGTTCTTATCGTAAACAATTTTCAAAATTAATTGGTCTTTAAGTACGACCGAAATATGACAACCTACTTGCATATTTTTCTTCAAAATGGTACATACAATAACACAAAGCTTCAATAAGGCGTCTTCCTCGCTCGCTGATTTCACTTGAAATTGGAAAGAAATCATTGTATATAACGAATTTCATATTCATATGAACAATGAAGAACGTTGCAGTGAACACTCGGTTGCTCATGTATTTTCATTTCTTAAGCTCTAGATCTTGTATTCTCATTGCCACAGTTTCTTCAAAAATCAAAACAGCTTTGAACTTGTTTGATTTTGTTTGAGGCAGTTGTTGAAATTTTGTTTGGCTCAAAATTCAAAAACAACTAAACAATGATTACGTTATTGATATGTTTGTAATATTTCGTCCAATTGCAACAAGGAATGATGACGTGTGCACACGCCTTTATCCAATCAGATTAAAGAAATATAACGATAGCACACGTCAGCAAAATTGGAATTTGGATTTTGGAAATCGGAATTATTTTTTAAAAATATAAAAAGTTAAAAACAGCGGCTTTTGCATTTAATCACAGAGTAGATACTTAGGATATGTTCACACGCGCGTCGTTT